ACGCCTTCATCCCTGAACCACCGGCAACTCTGCGAAATGACCTGAGATCTACTTTTTCGTATCTCAGACTCCCTGAAGTTTGCCTTGGGTATGTCTTGTGCGAAAACCTCCATTTTTAAACGCAGTGTTTGAAAGGATTTTTTTTTCGACCGTGTAGTAGAGGCGGAAATTTAATGATTAGGTTACGATTTCTCAGATGCGACCCAAATATTCGTTTCTTTTGTCTGCTGAAAAAAAAATGAAAATCACAATTGTGCATTTAAATGCAGGTGATGAGCTTCAGATAGAGAAAACGTGAATCATTATATCAAAAATAACCGAACTGTCGTTAAAAAAAAAAGGTTCATAATCCACATGTTTGAATCACAATAGTTTGAGAAATATTTATTCTAAAAGAATATAGAAAGATTATATTCTAAATTTATTCTAACATGAAATGTTGTGAGAGTACGGATTTCGAAAGTCTCAGAAAATTCCGAAAATCAACTTAAATGATGTCAGAATTATTTGAAGAAAACGTTTGCGAAGATGAAAAGTAACTACGAACCCCCGTTTTCTTCATCTACTTCATATGGCCATAAAAAAAAGAATCATGGATTTTAAAAAGAGGTTTTGCGAAAATTTACTGAATTCCGTTACATTTTAGAGTTCATTCGATTTTGAAAGGAAAGAAATTTCGATTTGTATTAACGCTCGAGCGTGGCGAAAATAAGCACAGTTTTTTCCCATCGTCTTTTATACCCATGTCGAAAAACTTGAGCTTCTTCGCTGAAAATTTTAAATAAACTTCAATAATGTCAAAATGATTTGCAAAAAACGTTTGCTAAGATGAAAAACAACACGAACCAAAGTTTTCTCCATCATCTTCATTTTTTTTTTAAATACGTGATGCGGGATTTCCAACGGCGTTTTTTCGAGAATTTACGGAATCCCGTCAAATTTTTGAGTTCATTTTAAATTGTAAATAGTTTCCAATTTTTATCAACGCTCGAACGAGGAGTGAACAAGTACAGTCCTGTGCTTCTTTCATGTCCACATCGAAACATTTGAACTTCTTTGTCGAAATTTCCAGTATTAAAAAAGTATTGCTGTTATGCTTTAATCATTTGCAATCGAACACATCAATATAATAACTTCAATCGTTGAGTTGCTTCAAGTCTACAGTTTTATCTTATTTCACGTTATTTGATTACCCAAGAGACGAGACAATCGCATGAAACAAGTTCTAATTTTTCCGAAAGATTTTTAATCATTTTTCTGCTGCTCGGGGGTTCTTGTGTGTGTGTTTAGGGGTTACGAGGGGATGACTTCCCAGAGCGTTTACTGCGCTTACAACGCCCGTCACACAGGTTGCCTTTACAACAAGGTGAATGGAGCCACTTGTGGAACTGTCTATGTCCGAAAAGTCACCGAGGCCGAGAAAACTGCGATTCTCGACGCGCACAATGCAAAACGGCGGCGGGTGGCTGAAGGTTCCGAGACCCTCGGAGTTGGAGGCGGCCAACCGAAGGCGGCGAACATGAGGAAATTGGTCAGTTGCATTTTTGAATCATCGTCATAATCAATGAGAAATCAAATCACGCACAGGAGTAGAAAAAAAAAACNATAACACGATATCGTGAAAATTCTTCAGCAATTTGCAACTCAGAAAAGTTGTCATGTCGAGATGATCAGAAGAGTAACTCATCCGAACCTTTGTCCACCGTCTTCATGATTGATTCTGATGCTGTACAGTGAGACCCCGAGATGCGGACGTAATTGGTGCATCAAGAGTGTCGCTAAGTCAAAATGTCCCTAAGTTGAGCCTTGTTTTCCCATGGACTTACATTATAAAATTTTTCATTGGTGTTTTGCGGAAGAAATATTCTTCAGAATTCCCTGAAAAAAATTGTTTGCCACTTGAATTTGAATTAGTGAATACATTTTCAACTCAATGAGAACATTTGGAGCATTGAATAGTGTATCTCTGTACTGTACACTGAAATTTTGGCATTTATAAAAATGACATTCAGGTGAAAAAAAGTAGAAGTCCCTCTATGCTGGAGAGAATTTTTTAAAATTAGCTAAGTGGATGGTAATTTGGTGAGAGAAATGCCCAAGAACTTTCCTTACATCAATTTTAGGTTTTGAAATATGCGTTTCTTGTAATTTGGCCTAAAATGTATTTGCAATTTTATCACAGAATGTCCCTATGTTGAGTCAGTGTCCTCATGTCGGGCCTTATTTATTAATTTTTTTCTGGGAAAATATGTGTCCCTATGTCGAATTGTCCGCAGGTGGAGGCGTCCGCATGTGGGGGTCTCACTTGTACATTTACTAGAACATATTTCTCGAAATTAAAAACAGCGACGAATTACACGCAAAATTAAAGCTGCTGTTGAATGCACACTGATCAATTCTTTAGCTGTCATTACATCGCACTTTTTGGGTTAAACTGAAATTCATGGCTGGTGACCGAGTTGGATAGTCAAAAGTGTGATCACAACAAATAACAAGGAAGAATCCCGTAGATTTCGATGTTTAAGTACTCGTGAAAATTCTACGAAAGTTCGTTACTGTGGAAAATTTGTGGAGTTTGAGGATCTTTGGAAAGCACATAAATTTGCTCACTTGTATTTTGAGGCCTGCACGTTTAGAAAGAAATGTTCCCGCCGATAGAAGGTATTTTTTCCATTCTTTCCCTTTAAAATATGATTAGTGATCATATAATAATAGCTCTGATGAACAAAATAGTGGATTCGAAAAATGGTAATATTCACTGTCGTTTTTTCAGACTTGGGACGCTGAAGCAGCTTCACTTGCACAATTATGGGCTGATCAATGCACATTTTCGCACGACGCCGTTCATCATACGGGTTCGTTGAAACGCATAATTTTTTTGATTGCCATGCAAAAAAAAAAAAAACTTTCGTTGATTATTTCCGAATCAGACGTGCAAGGAGGAAGGATTTACAATGGGCAAAACTTATACATCAGTGGAAGTTTCTCCAGCTCATCGGCAGCAAGTTGGACAGCAGCTGTTGATGCGTGGTACAGCGAAGTCGCAGATTGGAATCCCTCTAATGTTAACTCTTACGTGTAAGAAATGCGTGGAACGAATTGATGTACTGTATTATGGTACAGTGTTTGAAATTCTAATCCACCGTTGATGTGTTTTGGATTTGAACAGATTCAATTCTGCGACTGGACACTACACTCAAGTCGTCTGGGCCACAACGACTAAGGTCGGTTGCGGATACATTTTGTACCTGCCCCCAGGCGAAACCACCTACAAACAGTTCTACGTTTGCAACTACAGTCCCGGAGGAAATACTATTGGTACCCAAGTGTACGCTCAAGGAGATCCCTGTACTTCTTGTCCCACAGGAACTTCATGCGTGGATACGTCTTTGTGTGGATAATCACCATGCTCGTCGGTTCACCATAACAAGGAGTGTGAAATTGCATAACACCCAAATGCATACTTTTCGAATTGTGCGTATGTTCGAGAAGGAGATATAAATAAAAAAGAGGAAGTGTGGCAATCCCAACAAGATTTGTTTCTCTTTCGGGAAAGATGAAATATCGACTGCTTTCCCTCCCAACGAGTTCCTCGAAAAATCACAATAATCCTGGACATGTTTTCGAAGTAGAACATTTTTCATGCGTGACATCCAAAACCAAAAAAAAGAACCACGATTTTAGTTGAATTAATTTAAATTTTCTTGACCATCTGTGGAGCCTTTGGAAAATTCGGAAGCATCACTTATCGAGTTGTGGCTCAGCAGGAAAAAATAAATTGGTATAAATATATTCAGCATTGAATGGTACGCGTGATTTCTTCACTGAATCCGTTTTTGCAGCTGAACGGGATTTTCGCACAAACAGTATTTTTCCGACGCGTAAATTACATTCGAACGCATTCTAGATTTCTCGTGCAGTGTGAAAATTCAATGTCAGAGCGAGAAGCTTTTCGCCCGACATTTGAATTTGAATTTCAAACATTTTCGCATCAAGTGTAACGATTTTCGTCATTACGGATCAGTGAATCAAAAACACTGAACATTGAGACCAGAGATTTAAATTTTTTACAAGATTAAATGCATCGTCCTTGCTCCAAGTTGTGAAGTACTGTAAATATGTACTGTACTCATTTATAAAATCAGCACGACATTTGAACGAGACTACGAATTTTTGTTCGGTATGAAATCTCAACGAAAAGTCTAAGTCGTATAAGTCCCTTTATTATGAGGAGCATAATAAGGAAATAAATCTTTAGAATGAAATCGAAACCTCGTATAAGGTGCAATTATTGGAATTTCCTCATTAATTTTTCAGGAAGAAAATATCCGG